AAAAAAATTAAAATGAAAAAAAGCAAGTCTGTTCAGCGATGGGTCTCTTTCTGTCTTCAGACAAAGATGTGAGCACCATCCAGCTTGAAGGCGAGAGTGAAGTGACAGTTGGAGCTGACCTCTGTGACAGTTGGAGCTGACCTCAGGTCACATGACCTCACCTCAGGTGCAGCTGTTGCTATGGATCATTCTTCTTAGTGATTCAGATGATTGGACCTAATAAATAAAAAATATATATACAGTACATATATTGTATATTTTATATATTAGCTATATCTATCTACAGTATAACATTTTTTTTCCTCCTAGCTTTGGCTAGGGGAGTATACTATCTATCAATCTATATACAGTACTATATATTATATATATATATTATATATGCACTTTTTGTCTATTTTATGTCCCCCTAGGCTAGGGGAATATTTTATATATATATATATATATATATATATATATATATATATATATATATAAAAATATATATATATATATATATTTAGTTATTTTCCCCTAGGTAGGATTGGACCTAATAAATAAAAATATATGTACAGTACATCTATCTATCTATATACAGTACTCTATATATATATATATATATATATATATATATATATATATACACACAGTATTTTCTGGCGTATAAGACTACTTTTTTATACTTAAAAATATACCCCAAAAAATTGGGGGTCGTCTTATACGCGGGGTATAAAATGTGAACCTTGAGTTTGTTTGGGTCAAGCTGGCTGGATGTGTGGTAATACTGTACATACAGTATACCGTGCTGAGCCAAGCTGGCTCAAAAACAAATGTCCCTATGACAGATTAATCTGTCAGCCCGCTGGATGTGCGGTTATATACAGTATACTGCGCTGAGCCAAGCGGTTTCAAAACGTACCGGTACGTCCCTACTGTAATCAGCCCGCTGGATGCGTGTATGTACAGTAGCTGCGGCTACATACAGTATACACTGGGCCAATCACGGCGAGTGATGTATTCTACTAATGAATACAAAGCCTGCTCGGATTGGCTGAGTCAGAGAGGTGAGCTGATTATGTCACAACCTCAGCCAATCCGAGCAGGCTTTGTATTCATTAGTAGAATACATCGCTTGCCGTGATTGGCCCAGCGTATACCGTACTGGTACGTTTTGAAACCGCTTGGCTCAGTATACTGTATATACCGCACATCCAGCGGGCTGACAGATTAATCTGTCATAGGGGCATTTGTTTTGAGCCAGCTTGGCTCAGCATGGTATACTGTATGTACATTACTGCACATCCAGCGGGCTGTAAATCCATATGATGACTGTCTTACAAATGTATCACAAGATGTCATTCATGAACTTATGATGTCAGAGGATGAACATGAGGATTTTGAAGGATTTTAAGTACCAGTAAGGTATAACCATTTCAGTTAAAAAATCTGATGTTTTTAAATGGTGTTGCCTCGGATGGGGGGTAGTCTTATACGGTGAGTATAGCCCAAAACCTATGTTTTAACTGGAAAATTAGGGGGTCGTCTTATACACCCAGTCGCCTTATACGCCGGAAAATACAGTACTTTTTTTCTCCTAAAAAAACAGTAATGGCTGCAGTTGTATTTTTTTGTACATACTATATCAATTGATATGCAGCTATTAATAATAAAATAATGGGATTAAATGTTATTTCTTTGAACATTCGAGCAGGGATTATACTAAACTTTGTAAGGTTGCTGTACTATAAAATTAAATTTAATATTTCTAACCATGTAGAATGTGTGTTTATATTTCCCCAGGGTAATGGAAACACTAGGCTCACTTCTAGTTGACATTGCTTTAACCTACTGCAAATTCAGTGCACATATTAGAGCTTTAACCACTTGCCCGCCAGAGGATTTATTTGCCCCTTCCTGATCAGGCCATTTTTTTGCGATATGGCACTGCATTACTTTACTTGACAATTGCGCGGTCATGCAACACTGCACCCAAATGAAATGTATGTCCCTTTTTTTCCCCACAAATGGAGCTTTTTTTTTGGTGGTATTTGATCGCCTCTGTGTTTTTATTTTTTGCGCTATAAAAAAAAAAGACAATTTTGAAAAAAAAAAAACAATATTTTTGACATTTTTGCTATGAAACATATCCAGTAAAAAATTTAAAAAAAGTCAAATTTCATGATAAATTTAGGCCAAAATGTATTTTGCTACATGTCTTTGCTAAAAATCCCAATACGTGCAAATTAATTGGTTTACATGAATGTTTTAGCGTCTACAAATGGTATATATAAACTGGATTTTTTTTTTTATACTAGTAGTGGCGGTGATCAGCAACTTATAGTGAGACTGCGGGACTGCGGTGGGCATTCTGACACTGGATGGGAACTAACTGCCACTGACATCCCCAATGACACTAATACAGTGATCAGTGCTAATAAAAAGCACTGAGACTGTACTAATGACACTGGGCAGGAAAGGGTTAACATCTGGGGCGATCAAAGGGTTAATTGTGTGCTGTGTGTGTTTCACTATGTTTGCTGTGTGTGCTTTACTATGGAAGCATCCTGGTGCTAACAGGGAAGAGATCTGTATTGTTTACATACAGACCTCTCTCCTGTCCATGTTCCTCAGCAATCACCGTGTGCCAGCAGGCTGATCAACAGCTGTAGCCACCAACGGTGGTGCGGGTAGGGTGCCGTGCTCACACCCCCTACCTGGAAATACAAAATCGTGTATATATATTTGTGATTTTGCGCAGCCCTGCCGCCCTGTAGTAGTACCTCTGCTTCAGGGCGGAGGGGAAGCGGTTAATGGAAAGCATACATTTACTGTATATTTAGTCTGTGAAACCACAAACATTGCAAGTAAGCAGACCTACATGTTTAATACATTAAGACATTTTTGATCAACATTTCCACTTGTCTTTTTATCTGTGCTTGCAGTGATTTTTAGTCAACCAGGTGTGTCAGAGGATCCGGGGTTATTCTTGGAGTCTAGGCACGGAACAGACAACCCAAAGTTACCAAGCAGCTCCTGGTAGTCATGGTAAACCTACCAATCATTTGGGTAACACATGTATAAGGAGACACATAAATCTGTACCACAATGTTCAGTGGAAACAGCACCTCATTAATACCAGTAGGCAGTAAAAGTCCACACCCCTCCTTCTAGTTCCCCAAATTCCCCTTTCTACACATTTTGCCAGCTGCATCCAATGCAATACTTGTGACCTATAGCAATAGAGAGGAATGTTTGAGGCTTCTAGCTTGCCCAGTTGACAGTGTGCTGTCTGAGGGGCATTTAGTGAAACTGATTTTGTTATTGAAAGGCAAATCTGACAACCTCTTGACATCCAGGATTGGCTCACTTTAATAAAAATGAATCAGCCCTGGATTAGAATTGATTATAAAGCCCCTACTGCAGATGCTACTGACTAACTTTTACATTGTCACCTAGTCCAATAAAAAAAATGGTACTTGCTTCTATTGCCAGCTACTGCCAGCACTCCTGGTGTGCCACTATTACCAGCCCCTGCTACTTATCTTGGCCTGCCACCATTACCAGTTCCTGCCACCTTTCCTGGTCTTCCAACATTACCAGCCCCTGCACCTCTCCTAGCCTTTTCTGGTGCTTCAGCCCTGTAAAAATGGCACACATAATGTTTCATGGAACTCAAATCAACTGTAAATTTGCAATGTGTACTGCAGAGTAAATCTCATGTTGTGCCTCAAAGTTTGCAGTCTATTCGGGTACTTCAGCACTGTAAAGGTGCTACACAATCACATGTCCTTAACATGGGGGGTACTTTGGGACCCCAAACCTTATCATTATATCTATTTCTTTTCTGTTTTTTTTTTAATATTATGTACTTACATTCATAATGTAGTCTACGTTCCACACTTCTGTGTTGTTCCTGGCCTTTTGGTACTGTCTCTATGTTTTGATAATGTGTACATTTGTACTTGTAGATTTTCGTTTGTACACAATATACTGTGATACTATGCACAGTGTCTACCAATCAATAGCATTTCCTAGATAGAACACTTGAGGATTGGCTTGCTATTCTTTTTTTTTTTAACATTGTACTGTGATCCTATGTACTTCATTATTATGTTCTTTCTTTTGATGTATATTTGTTAAAATGCAATACAAATTAAACATTATATAATAAAAAAAGTGTATCATATAATTTTAGGGATTTTCATGGTAAAGACTCAGTCTAGCTGATGCTCTATGGGACAGTGTTCTTGGAAATTGGGGGCAGGCCATGTTTAATGTAGGGACAGTTAAAAGTTTTAGATAGAGATGAGCGAATTATTCAAAAATTCGATTCGGCTGATTCGCCGAATTTGCGGGAGAAATTTGATTCGATGCAAATTTTATTCGCCGCAAATTTAACTTATTAAAAGGGTTTCTAGGCTTCAGAGAGCCTTTATATTAGTGCAGAACACTGTACCTTTAATTTAAATGCCCTTGGAGTCTGCTGGGGAAGAGAAATAATACTGTCAGTCAGTATGACATGCAGATGAGTGCCGTCGATCTTAGAATCACCGCACACTTCACTCATTTGGGCAGTCACGGGGCACGACGAAGAAGAAGAAGAAGAAGAATGAAAAGAAGAATGAAAAGAAGAAGAAGAAAAGAATGAAAAGAAGAAGAAGAAGAAGAATGATAAGAAGAATGAAAAGAAGAAGAAAAAATGAAAAGAAGAAGAAGAAGAATGAAAAGAAGAATGAGAAGAAGAATGAAAAGAAGAATGAAAAGAAGAAGAAGAAGAATGAAAAGAAGAATGAAGAAGAATGAGAAGAGGAATGAAAAGAAGAATGAGAAGAATGAAAAGAAGAATGAAAAGAAGAAGAAGAAGAATGAAAAGAAGAATGAAAAAGAAGAAGAATGAAAAGAAGAATGAAAAGAAGAAGAAGAATGAAAAGAAGAAGAAGAATGAAAAGAAGAATGAAAAGAAGAAGAAGAAGAATGAAAAGAAGAAGAAGAATGAAAAGAAGAAGAAGAAGAAGAATGAAAAGAAGAATGAGAAGAAGAATGAAAAGAAGAATGAAAAGAAGAATGAGAAGAATGAAAAGAAGAAGAAGAAGAATGAAAAGAAGAATGAGAAGAAGAATGAAAAGAAGAATGAGAAGAATGAAAAGAAGAAGAGAAGAAGAATGAAAAGAAGAAGAAGAAGAATGAAAAGAAGAATGAGAAGAAGAATGAAAAGAAGAATGAAAAGAAGAATGAGAAGAATGAAAAGAAGAAGAAGAAGAATGAAAAGAAGAAGAAGAAGAATGAAAAGAAGAATGAAAAGAAGAAGAAGAAGAATGAAAAGAAGAATGAAAAGAAGAAGAAGAAGAAGAATGAAAAGAAGAAGAAGAAGAATGAAAGAAGAAGAATGAAAAGAAGAAGAAGAAGAATGAAAAGAAGAAGAAGAAAGAATGAAAAGAAGAATGAAAAGAAGAAGATGAAGAATGAAAAGAAGAATGAAAAGAAGAAGAAGAATGAAAAGAAGAAGAAGAAGAATGAAAAGAAGAATGAGAAGAAGAATGAAAAGAAGAATGAAAAGAAGAAGAAGAAGAATGAAAAGAAGAAGAAGAAGAATGAAAAGAAGAATGAGAAGAAGAAGAAGAAGAATGAAAAGAAGAAGAAGAAGAATGAAAAGAAGAATGAAAAGAAGAAGAAGAAGAATGAAAAGAAGAAAAAAGAAGAATGAAAAGAAGAATGAAAAGAAAGAAGAAGAAGAATGAAAAGAAGAAAAAAAAGAATGAAAAGAGAATGAAAAGAAGAAGAAGAAGAATGAAAAGAAGAAGAAGAAGAATGAAAAGAAGAATGAAAAGAAGAAGAAGAAGAATGAAAGAAGAAGAAGAAGAAGAATGAAAAGAAGAAGAAGAAGAATGAAAAGAAGAAGAATGAAAAGAAGAATGAAAAAAAAGAAGAAGAAGAATGAAAAGAAGAAGAAGAATGAAAAGAAGAAGACGAAGAATGAAAAAGAAGAAGAAAAAGAATGAAAAGAAGAATGAAAAGAAGAAGAAAAAAAGAATGAAAAGAAGAATGAAAAGAAGAAGAAGAAGAATGAAAAGAAGAATGAAAAAAGAAGAAGAAGAATGAAAAGAAGAAGAATTCCAGTACAGCAAAAAGTGTATCTGCAGAGAGCTCCGCTATTTCTGACAGTTCTCTGACAGTTCCTTCACATTTACAGCGGTTGAAACATTGTATCTATTTATTTCCGAATAAAAACATCTGTATCCTAAATGGAAACAAATAGATACAATGTTTCAACCGCTGTAAATGAACTGTCAGAAATGTCAGAAATAGCGGAGCTCTCTGCAGTGACACTTTTGCCGGCTGATCGGGGGAAAAAATTCAATTCGTGCACCCGAAGTTTGCTAAAATTCGGATTCGATGCGAATCGAATTTTTCCTGATATTCGAAACTAATTCCACTTCGCCAGGTTCGATTCGCTCATCTCTAGTTTTAGACTTAAAGTGTATTTCCACTTTTGCAGTCAAATTTGCAAAGATCCTACTGTATGTTTGTTTGTGCTCCCATTCACACAACATGCCAAAATGTTTGTTTAAATATTTCTTATCTTTTAAATACATGTTTCTCATTATAGGGCCTTATGGCTTAGGGGTTTTGAATAATGTTAATGTCAGTCTGTCCTAAGGACAAGCTGAGTCTCCTCTCATTAAACTGCAAGAAGCCCAGCTTCTAAACATTTAACCATCTGTTAGAATAGAGTGTTCAAATCTAATATACAACTGAAAATTAAGATCTGCCTGCACAGTACAAATGGAGTTAGTTATGGCAAACACAGCTCCCCAGCCCCTTCATAAACAAAGAGAACTAGTAGCATTTTACTGTGCTAGAATTTCCAGAACAGAAACATCTAAAAAGGTAAGCTTCAATTTTATGTTTTAAAGTTATGCTATGTGAATGAGAACAGTATATAGTGTTTTGTGTATACTGTTTTGTTCCACAGCACCCATATACAGTATATATGTAGTAGACTAACAGAAAAAAAGATGAAGGCAGTTTAAAAAACATTTACAAATGGGAGCTTGATATATTGAAAAAAAAAAAAACCCTCATGTAGTAATCAATGGCTTTAGGGAAGGAAGCTAAAATAGTTAATATACTGAGAGAAGGGTGGAGAACAGAGCAGGAGGATGCTCCGAGCAAGTCATCTGGTGACAAACTTGTGACATCATCGCTCTGTGCAAAGAACTGGGTACCTGCTCAAGGAGGTTAGAGGAAGCAAGGGTTGCATTAGCATTTTACACTATGTTAGTTTAGCACCATCCAATGAAAGTTGTGTTACTGTTTTATCAATAAACGTTCCCTGAGGATTTTATGCTATGTTGTTTCCTGATTACTTTAAATACACTACTAAAGAGCTGGAGGATCAAGGAGAGAATTGTCTGTGGAGCACACTTAAAGGATAAATACTAAAGCATTACTCAAAAATTGGCAAGTATGTCTACAAGAAGAAGGTAGCACTGAGGCTCTGGAGCACAGGAGTGGAGTGTGAAAGAGACCGGAGATGACGGCAGACCGGAAGTGCGTCAACGCGTTTCGCCCCACCCACGGGGCGTTCTCAAGACCAAGAACGCCCTGTGGGTGGGGCGAAACGCATTGACGCACTTTCGGTCTGCCGGCATCTTG